GGGGGGGCAGCGGGCGTGGGGAGGCACTTTTCCTCTGCCCGGCAGCTCTGCGGGACCCCAGTCGGAGCCGGCCCGAGGAGGAGGAGGATCCTAGGACCCAGGTGAGCGAGCCCCGGGAATGCTGCTGCGCATGTGCGGGAGTTGCCTCACCCCGTTCGTATCTAGGGATCCGACGTAAGTCGGATCCACGTAAGTCGGGGACTGCCTGTATACATTCTATAGAAAAATTTCATTTTGTAAACTCCACCATGAGTCATTGTGTATCTGTACCAGGTAGAGTTACTCTCCAAACAATGAATAATGCAACCTTGAATTCTGACCATATACATTTGTTAGAAATGGTAGTATTGATATGATGGCATTGAAGCAGATGGTTAGTCTCGCTGTATTTGACTTGAATTAGATGTATGCTAATGGAGGGAAGTCTTTGTTTTTAAAATAGAAATAGTTTGAAGCTTTTATCATTTTGGGGTTTGGCTGAGGCCGTCCTGGCCCTCTTCCTCTGGCTGCGAGAGGGAGGGTACATGGCTCGCCACTCGCTCCCCGTGAGGGAGAGGTCTTATGGCTTTGCCTCTCCCCCAGTAAAGGGGGGAGGTCTTGCGGTTCGCAGCCATCCCCCGCCCCTATAGGTCCAGCCCCACTCTCAAGCCACGCCAAGCCCCATGCTCTCCCCTCTGGGTCCAGGCCCCTTGCCCTTCTCCCAGCCACCAGGGGGGAAGGGGAGGGGAGGAGAGGCCCAGGTCTCTCTCTCTCCCCAGGCCCTTCACCTTCCTCCTCTTCCCCCTGCCCCCGCCTGGCTGCCAGGAGGAAATGGGGGTGGGGGGCGAGGCCTAGGCCCCTGCACTTTCCTTGGACCCCTCACCCTTCATGCCAGCCACTGGGAGGGAAGGCAGTGAGGCCCATGGTGGAGAGGGTGTCCCCCAGTTCTGGCACCCCCTTCAGTGGGCCTCTCCTGCAGTGCCCCCTACCACAGGACTTGCCACAAGGCGCCTCCTCCCCCCCATACTATGGGAGCTGCACAATTTAAAACTACAGCAGCCACCAGCCACTTGGTTCCTCTCTGCTGCCTCCTGTTGTCCCACAATTTTCCTTCCTCCTCCTCCCCTTTCCCCCCACTCCCATGCCCACCAGCGGCAGCAATAGTTGCTGTGCCCTGCTGTGTTAGCAGGAGGGAGGAGGCGGGGCAGCTGAGGGACTGCAGGAAGCAGAGTGACGTGATGATATCACTGTGTCATCCTGCAGAAAAAGTTTTCTTTAATATATAGAAAGATTAATGGCAGAGAATAACACAGAGCCCCCAGGTCCCACCAACAGCCAGGGCCTCTGAGCAAGCCAGGAGGCAAGAAAGCTGAGATGGCTGACTGGCAAAGGAAACCCGGCAAGGGGCTGGGATGCTACAGTGGGCGAGCTGGGACATAGCCAGTGTCAATGTAGCCAGACACAAACCCCATCTTGGTTTTCCACGAACCCCATCTTGTTCCCCTCCCCCCCAGAGAGCAAGAGAAAGGCAGTCAGCCTTTGATGCCCTGGGAACACAGGTGTGCTGCCTGTCCCTGACTCTACCATAAACAGAAACCAGACAGTAAATGGGCTAGCTGACGACCCGGGGCCTCCCGTCGCCCTGATGGCTAGTACCAGTAATTGACACGCCTGCACTGTCCCAGGAGAGGAATCTTCGCCCATCACATACCAGAGGTGCCCATTGTCTGCATTTTCCCAGGTGTAAATTATGCTTTGCACCCTTCGTGGGAAACTTGGCATTCAAAGCCATTTTTCCTAATTGGCCACTTGAGCCCAGGAAGAAGCCTACATGACCCAAGGGGTATAAAGAGGGGTTTAGTAGCCCACCCCCTTTGAGCTCCAAACACCTACACCTGCAGGTATTGATTGTCTCCCGAGGTCTGTGGGACGCCCAACCTCGCCCTACTTCTTCCCGAGGGATTGAGAGAAAGACGCTGGCCACGCCAAGTCTGGAACGCAGGGGTGAGAATATATACCTGCTATGTGTCTATTTTGCATGCATTTAATAAGAGCTCAGAGAACCAAAGGGTTTCATGGTACCTGTAAGTGACTTATTAGTGTAATTTCTGTCCTGTCCTTTGTAGTGGCTGTGTTATCTGTAACACAGTAGTAGCATTTAACAACTAAGTTTACCCTGTAACAATAAATAGTAACTGTTTAAGCTTTATCCTGACTCCTTCAGTTGCTGTAACAGAACCAAGCACAATTTAAAAGAACTTCAGCCGGTCATAAGGGACTCACTGCCCTGACCGTCGGCTGACAGATGCTACAGTGGGCGAGCTGGGACATAGCCAGTGTCCTCTCACGCTGGCTCCCCGGTCCCAAATAATACAGAGTGGCAATGGGGGTGTTAAGCTGAGATCCGGCAGGAACAGGGACTGAGCCAGCGTCTTTGCACACCATTTCCCCAGTGCCTTAATATTGCAGAGCTGCAGTGGGGTTTGGAGAGAGAGGGGTGCGAGTAGTCAATAGTGTTAACCAATAAGCTTCAGCTTATTGATTAGTCACCTACTCGCTTACATTCCTAGATAGAAATGTACTTTATAAATGTATAACTTAAGTATTCCTGTACCTAAAACTTACCTTGTACATGAATAATGAAGCAGAATTGGAGGTGTATAGCACTGTGAGCACTGAACTTAGAACTCTGAAAATTAAAAGCTCGCTTTAACAGGTAAGAGGTAGTGCTGGGTAGAAAAGAATTGACTTGCAGATATAACTTGAAATTAACAAATATTAGTTTTAGATACTTCATATCATTTAAAAGCATTTTTTACTATGGGAGAAATATGTTTAAGCTGACTGCATTTATTTAACTGTTTTTAACTGCCTCGTTATATTAAAAATAGAACTTTGTCTCACTAGATTTTCTAAATAACAGTATTATCTGGTCTTCAGGTACTAATTCTGAATTAGATTATGGGACAAGTTTTAGACTGGCCTCACAACTTGGAACGTGGCAGTCTCAGACCTTGACTGATGTACCTCACAATGAGGAAACTTGTGGAAATTCATGAGCTCTGTGCCATTGCGCTTTTTTTTTTTTTTTTAGACAATTTGGGGGGGAAAAGGAACGGATAGTGTATATGGGACAGACACCAACTTTTTTTTTTTTTTTTTTTTGAGACAATTTGTGGGGGAAAAGGAACGGACAGTGTATATGGGACAGACACCAACACATACACAAAATTGCCTCTAGACACTGGAGTATTTGAAGTTTAATCCTTCTGGTTCAAAACTTATTAATAGTCATTAACCAAATACTAGACTTTGCTCCTATTCACATTAATTCTATTTCAGAAAGAGACTGTTCGCCTAAGGATAATTCTTAACTTCATATTTCCAGTTAATTCTTAACTTCATATTTTTTGTACAGCTATATTTTAGATTGATAATTTAATGATAGCTACTCCTATATAATAGTGTGTTAAAGGTTAATATTTATGAACTCAAATTGAGTTACGGCTATTGATATTTATTTCATTTTTTTAAATCCCTTGCTTCCTACAAATTACAGCATATTAATAGTAAATTATAAAATATTGTACAGTTAATAATATATTTAAAACTAAACTACAACTCTTCAAATAAATGAATGTGGTATATTTGTGCTTCATTATTACTTTTTGCCTGGTGTTTGTTCATCTCTAAGGCCTAATGCCAATAGAAGAAAAAATCTCATTGACTTTAATTAAAGTAGGATCAGCCTGTTATTACTAATTCAGTAATTTGCAGTGTCTGCTCTTGTCAATAATGTGAGAGTGAGGTTCTGCTGTACTTAACTTGTAACGTTCTAGTAGCTGTTTCTCTGTCATTGAGCTCCTAAAGAGAAGGCGTATAGTAATTTTGGGACTTCGAGACTTAAAACAGATTTGATTATTTCCTTCTGTATAAATTAGTGGATTGATAGTAATGCTCAAGAAAAATTGTACATACAGTACAAGCTTTTTATCTGCATTCATGGGGAATAAGGGTTGCCGGTTAATCAAATGTACTCGAGCGTTACAGCAATGGTTCATGAATTTTTCACTGTACACTAGTCCTAGTTGCAGGATGAGATAGATCAGTGCTTTTTTTGTGTTTAAAAAAAAAAGTGCCAGTACTCCATGGGAAAAGGTGCTGGTACTCCAGGGGAAACGTTGAGCTCTGACTTTAGGTGCTGGTACTGTGTACCAGGCAATATCGTCACAGAAAAGCACAGAGAGATAGATAATAACTGATAACAGTCGTATGCACAGAAACGTGACATGAACAAACTTTACTGCCGTATGTTTACAGACTTGACTTCTGCAAGTGCCAGAAAAAGTCAAAAAATGATGCTGGATGGCTATTGGAATTTTTCTGGTTAATTGAAGGAGAAATTATTATTGTAAGAGACTAGTTGACTATCCAATAAGCAGAAGCTTATTGGATAGTCAACTAGTGATGCAACTAGTCGCTTCCCCCCTGCTGTCTCTATCTGAGAGAGGCAGCAAGTGCGGGGAGCAGGATCCAGTGCTGGGAGGAACTGTCTTAAAAGCCAGATTCCCCCCAGAAAGTCTCCGTGGAGGGCAGGGGAGGTAGAGGCACAATGAAAACGGTGCGAGCGAGGACTGAAGCAGTCTCTGCTTGCGCTGCTTCTGCTGCAGTTCTGCTTTTAATTGTACAAGAGCCCCAGTGGAGTCCTTGTATATTTCAAAAGCAGAAAACCCTCAGGGAGCACTGGCCCCATTCCCCACTGGCCCCATGCACCCTGCGAAGCTTCCTTTTGAAATGTATAAAAGCCCCTCTGCTTTTGAAATGTGCAAGAGCCCTACTGGGCTCTTGTACATTTCAGAGGCTCAGGCACTGCAAGGAGCGTGAGCGGGGGAGTCCCCTCCTGCCCTGAGCTGGCTTCTTTTAAAATGTACAAGAGCCTCACTGGGGCTCTTGTACATTTCAAAGGCTGACGCAGCAGGGAGCACAGAGTCAGAGAGATACCACGCTTGTTCCATGCTCCCTGCGGGGCTTCCTTTTGAACTGTATCATGAACCCTTATAGACTAATCAAATATTGATGAAAATACCATTGACTATGCAATGAGTTAATCTACATTTAACATCCTTACCATATTTCACTTGCTTTCACCCACCTGAGGTGCTCTGCTGTGTAGTATTTGGCACTTCCTGTTCTATGTATTTTATGGAATGATTTGTTAAATGAATCTGGACGTGATAAGTTTTCTGGGAACACCCTAAGGGTATGTTTACACTTCACTGTCCAATGTTGACATGCAGAAGTTGCCAAAGTCACTAAAGCATGTTTATACTTGCTTCCTCTGCCAACAGATTATGTCCACATCTAAGTTCCCCTATTGACAGCAGGAACAATGCACTGTGGGTATGTATTCCCACAGTGCCTGGTGACACCATCTGTTGCTGTGTGTGATGGGACCTCAGAACAGAGTGCGGGGCATCTTGGGACCATGCAAAATGTTCAGTCAGGAACCTCTTTGTTCAGGGGCTTCTAGCATCCTTTTGTGTCTTTTTTTCCAACCACAATTCTCTCCTGTGCATTCCAGAATCTGCATTGAGAGAGTCTGGATTATGCAGTTCTCTTGCATGCTCTGTTAACTGTTTCTGAGACCTTGTACATTGCAGTGTATTGCAAACCGGTGCTTCTGGGTTAGGGAAACCAGCACTGATGAGTGGGATTACATCATTATGCAGGTGTGGGATGAAGACAAGTGGCTGCAGTGCTTTAGGATGCGTAAAACAATGTTCCTGGGGTAGTTGGCTCCTGACTTGAAGCACAATGACTTTCGACTGAGAGCTGCCCTCTCTTGATGGTGCTGCAGTTGCCTGTGGATCATCATGGGTGTTTCACAGACATCAACACAGGATGGTCTGGAAAGGTGCATGATGCATGCACGCATCTTCATGAACACTGGCCTGTACAGAAAGCTGCAGGTGGGGATCTTTTTTCCAGACCCCAAGATTACAGTGAGAATGTGGAAATGCCCATTGTGCTCCTAGAAGACCTGGCCTACCTCTTGCAACCCTGGCTCATGAAATGATACACCGGGCATCTGGACAGCAGTAAAGTGCAGTGTAACAGCCTGAGCAGGAGCCAGATGGTGGTCAAATGAACTTTTGGGAGATTGAAAGGGAGATGGAGGTGTCTTTATGGCACGCTGGATCTCACTGAGGACAGTACGTCCATGGTTATCATGGCATGTTGCACTTCACATAATCTGTGTGAAAATAAAGGGGAATTATTTGCTTAGGGGTGGATCACTGAGGCAATCTGCTGCAGAGTTTGAGCAGCCAAACACTAGAACTCAAAAGATTGCTGCCAACATCAGGGAAGCCTTGTTAGTGCACCTCGAAAATCAGGAGTTGAAATAAACCCCTAATAGGTTTTTCCATGGGCCCCCTTTCAACACAAGACATAACCGGGAACATGCCTTTAATGCTGGCACCTGGGATTATGGTGCCTGGTATGTGACATTAAGCAGTAAATGAAAGCATTGAATTGTTCTGAAAGTGTGTGTCTATTCATTAGAAAGCAGTACAGTGAAATACAATGAAGCTTCCCTCACCCACATGCATGGAAGGTGCCAGAATTGGCGACAAAATGCCTCAGATTGTCTACCCTGCATGTTCTCATCAAACACAGGGAGGGGGAAAAAGACAAGTCCCTTGTAGAGCTGGAAATTTTTTGTTGACAAAAATGGTCATTTTTCATGACAGTCGTGTTGCAGTGTGAGTGCAGTTATGTCAACAGTATCAATAAGAATATCATGCGAGACCGTATCAAATGCCATTCTTATTAACAGAAGGCATTTTTCCTTGACTAAACTTGTTAATGAAGACAGTCCTAATTTGGAATATGTGGTGTTATCATTACTATCTTGATAGCTTTCCTGGAATCAGGAATATGGTGTAATAAAACAATTCTTTGAAAAATCATTCAAAGATAGAGAACAATAATAGACTTCAGTGCATTATTGTATCTTGCATAGAAGAAACAACTTAATGGAAAAACAGTGTTGATAAATATTTCCTGTGGTTTGTATGAAGATGGATTTTGAGGCTAAAGGTTTGGTTGTTAAAATGTCGTATTCCATAATAGAAAACAAAATTAACCTGTCTTGTACTTATCACTTTAGATGAATATGTATATAACTGAAAATACTACGTTTGTGCCTCATTTACACAATAGGCATTGGAAGTGTTTGTGGGATTTAATTGCTTGTTTCAGGTGCTGCAGGACTAATACAAACAGTCTTTCACTTTAGATTATTTTCAGAAAAATCTCCAATGCAATTAAGCATCACCCTTGTATTTCTCACTAATATTAAAGGTTTTGTTTTCAAAATTATATTTTCTTGAAATCTTGATACTGATTTTTTTTTTCATTGCAGATTATGACCGTACCAAATGACCCCTATACTTTCCTCTCTTGCGGTGAGGATGGCACGGTCAGGTGGTTTGATACTCGAATCAAAACAAGCTGCACAAAAGAAGATTGTAAAGATGTAAGAACCAAATGTTTCAATAAAATGACAGAAATATAGTGTGGTGATCTTAATATCCAGTATCTGAACCCTAATAAGGCTTGTGAGGTGGTAGTTGCGTGCCCCAATGAGATGATCAAGCCATGTGGTGAAAATTACAAAGAAACTGAAGAGTGCTGTTTGGACTCTGAATATCTGAAATACATTTATGAACCTCTGGTTTGGTTTCACACTTGGTAGGAAAACTTCTATTTTGGCCTCGGGCCTAACCTTCAAACCTTGAGGCTGTGATGACTTTTTTGTACATTTTTGAGAAGGTGGTGTAAATTGAGTTTATAATGGAAGCTCAAACTGTTGAGCAGCTTCTGTAAAATAGTGGGACAGCGAACATATTGGACTAAATGAATCTCTGTTGCATCTCCCTGGATGGTATTAATTTTGTTCATAGTATCTGCAATCCAGAAAACTTTTGTTACTGATGTGGATAAAAACACCCTTTTCCCCCCAATCCATATTATACATACTGTCCCCTTGTATTTGTCTCTTCTAATTTCTGCCATACATTCCCTTTTATTAGGCTTTGGTTATTTTTGGTCCCCAATCTTGTTACATTACTCTTACTACATGACATTCTGCTATCCAATTATCGGCCCATAAACCAAATCTATTCTAATCCTTTTGAATTAGCTTAGATGCGTCCTGCCTATTTGCAGTTCTTTCTACCAGCATCCTGGTTTCTTTAAGAAAATCCAAGCATTTGTTAGCCATCTCTGCCCTTAACTCTTAGGGGATTTTTAGGTTAATATAATGCTGTTTTCATTCTGTAATTCCTTTTGTTCATTGTAGTAACTCTTCCTTGTAATACATTTACCACCTATCTGTATAGGGTCAGATCCTGTTCCTTCTTACAAGCATTATTATAGCACCTTGACTAAAAGGGCTGCATCTATTTTTTTTTAAGTGTTTTATTTCAAGTGCATAGGAGCTATTTTGTAAGTGCAGTATCTTTGTTTTATTCCAGGATATTTTAATAAACTGCCGACGTGCTGCAACCTCTGTAGCTATCTGTCCTCCAGTACCATATTATCTTGCAGTGGGCTGTTCTGATAGCTCTGTAAGAATATATGACCGGCGAATGCTTGGCACAAGAGCAACAGGTGGGAAATAAAAATTAAGCAAACTTTTCTAGCAGCAGTCAGTTCTAGTTTGTCTTGTTTATGATGTAAGCTTAGTTTTTATTTAAGATTTAGACTTTTTAAAAACTGTATATTGGATATTACTAAAGAGCAGTAAAGCCTACATGGAAAGATTTTGAAAGATTTGTAAATAAATAGTGAATGTTGTTATTAAGATGTCCAAAGAACTTCTCTGTCGGTCAAATGCAGCACATGGAATTCTATGTCGTCTCCTAGGGGCTCTCTTGTCCTGCAAAGTGGAAGTGTTGGTAATGCTGCTAGACAATAATGACCTGCTATGATTCAGCAAATTCTCTGGTTTGGCATCAGTCAAGTCCGAGAGTGTCATAGTAGAGAGGCTTAACCTGTATTCTTTGTTTCTACCACAGATGGCTCTGCACTTTATTATTGGTCCCCTTTCAGGCTCTATTCTCATGTACTAGAGATTTAGACAATTTATTTTATTAAATTTTAATATCTTGATTAGAAGTTCAAATTATATTAAAAATACCTATATTCATGGTGTTAAATACTATATTTTATAGAAGTTTGTTTTTAAAATGCTTTAATTTCATTTTTATTGCTACTGTTCTTCATATTTCTTGATCTTCAGAGTATTGTTGCCTTTGTCTTGAACTCAGTTGTATAGAACTGGGAGAGAAGGGAAAATGACAAATATTGGGTATTTGTATAGATTCTGTGCGTAATATGGTGATTTTTAAGGGCTGGCATATCAGGACTGGAAGGAAATGCTGTGTCTCATTTAAAAGCAAATTCCTAGCTCATGTGGTGTTGTATAAAGAATCCAGAATTCCCTGATGCATTCAGATAATACACATTCAACTTGTCATTTGTCTAGCACTGAATATTGTCCATTGCAGGCCATTATAGTTTTGGATTGAAATCCACACATGGCAGAAAGAGAGGTGTTTTGTAATGATTTGTAAAAGAGATTGTTCTTTGAGTGATGTCCAAATGGGTGCTCCACTGTAGGTGTTGGGTCATCCCGGTGCTCCAGATCAGAGTTTTGCACAGCAGTAGTTGGTTGGGGCACACATGGGCATGAGGTATCTCGTGCTGTTCATTCTGTGTTTTGCACGCACAGCCTGACCTCCCTTCAGTTCCTTCATTGCCACTCTTGGCTGCAGATGGAGCTTGCCTTCTCTCCTCAGAGTCACCTCAAGTTGTTTGTTTCGTTAGCTGTTATTTCCTTTTGTTTCAAGTATTAGAGTTAATAGTGTTAGTATAGGACTGTTATTGTAGTTTATTCCAGTTAAAAAAACCAAAGGAAAAGAGGAAAACGCTAGGAGGGGTAAACTCTGGGAGCCGTTTTCTTTCATACCATACACAGAAGTGTCCTCATAATTTCTCCCTTGTCAGATTCTCCAGATTTAAAAAAATGCAGGACCTGTCACAAAGCTATGCTGACCTCGAATGGACACTCCTCCCGCATTTGGTGTCTAGGTGCTGCAAAAATGCCCTTACAGTAGCAAATTAACTGCCCAGACTCATCGAGCTAGGGAGATGAAGCTCCGCATGCTCCTTTTCGATAATGCTCTTTAGCCTGCTAAGGCAGGGGACTCAGCCGCTCATCCCAAGCCACCCAGGGCTGAGAAACAACGAGCAAGCTTGCCAATACCAAAACTGGCTACAAAAAAGAGGGTTTCACCTGCTAGATCTTTGCTGGCCTCTTCATCCTCCCAAGTCGGCTCTGGTGATAAACCTGGCACTTCCAGCAGCATGCCCAGCCAGCCTGCAAAGACTGTGGAACCCAAGTCCCAGCATGGGACACTACTGGTACTGATGACCTTGGCTCCAGTACTGGTGTCACCCAAAACCCTAGCACCGATCAAGCCCTGTGAGATGGACAGATCTTCTATCTTGGCAGTACCGTCAGTGCTGACAAAGCAACCACTGCTGATAACAGCTTGTTCTGTGTCTAAACCGCACTTGCATATCTCTGAGTCCAGAACCGACTTTCTCACTGGCACCGATATCACCATCTGTGCTGCATTCACTGGCACCGATGGAGGGATTGGCACAGACTCGCAACCTCCCACAACGATGTGCCTCCCTAATGCCTATGGCACTTGGCACTAGACCATCAAGGCAGTTTTCTCCATCTCTGCCCCCATCATCTAGAGGCTTCATAAGATCCTTGAGATCCCCGGTGCCATCAATCCAGAGCGTCTCACAAGAGCGCTTAAGTGTCTCTTCCTCCAGACATTCTTCATCTATCAGATCTTGCTGCAAAAGGTATAGATGCACACGCACATATGATCACCATTCCCCGGGATGATGGAGTGGAGGCTTCCCCCACAAAATTACTGACACTGGTTACCATGTTGTAGATTGTCACTGTCTCAATGCTGTTCTAGTGACCCTCCAGACAACCACCTCCCTCATCACATTCTCTCATCCCACCGGCTGCAGACCACCAGGAGACAGAGGAGGGGCCAGATAACAGACGAGGATGAGCCTCACAACCCAGAAACATCGTCCAAGGATCAGTCCTCATTGTCCTCGGATGAAGTAGTCATACCTGGGGACGTCCCCCCCGTTGACAACCTCAAGCAATTCCAGGAACTATTTGAGAGTGGCTACAGCCCAACAGATGCAACTCTCTGAGGTCAACGAGAAATAGCATCGACTCCTCAAATTTCCAGCTGACCCAGAGAGTCAAAATCACACTTCCCATAGATGAAGCCATCATGGAGGCTGCAGAAGATCTATGGCAAACACTTGTTTCTGTGCCTCCCACTAGTAAGCGGACAGACAAGAAATACTTTGTCCCCCCAAGGTTATGGACTTATTTACCCACCCCTAACTGAATTCACTTGTGGTCAATGTGGCTCAACATGGGCTGGAACTTCTCCAGTACAGAAACACACTGCAGGATAGGGAATTGAAAAGTATGGACCTTTTTGGGAGAAAAGTGTCCTCCTCTTCTACACTACTTTTACACATAGCTAATCTGCTCTTCAGATAAGAAGAGACCTATACTAAAATCAGTTGTACGGGAGGGGGACACAACAGCCCACACATCACTGCAAATATCGTTAGATGTTACGGACATCCTGGCAAGATCTACTGCGACTTCTATTGTTATATGTAGAGCATACTGGCTCCAGTCTGCAGGTATGCCCAAGGAGCTTCAAGGGAAGTTCGAGGACCTCCCTTTTGACACAGACTGACTATTGCAGCCAGAATAGTCAAAGTTCTTCATTCCAGTAAGGACTCCCAAACTACACTCAGAATGCTAGGGAAGTATTGATGCAATCCTGCCATATTGATGCAGGTGGTACACACCCTATCTACCCTACCAATGACATTGTGATTGTGCATACCCCAGAAATCAACAGGAGAGCCTTCAACCAAGGACATTCTAGACCGTGGGTGCAGAGGCAGCAACAACAAAACAGTCGCTCCTCTACTTCCCACTTCAACAAGCAGCATGTTTGAAACATTGGTCAGGGGCCGACACAATGTCTCCCACATCCATCTTCTGAATCATTCTGTCTTTCACCATGGTCTACGTCCTTTCCACCATCGTTGGGCTACTATCACAACCGACCTATGGGTTTTACAAACAGTCGCATGCACTACTCCAGTGGTCTCCAACCTTTTTTACCCAAGATCACTTTTTAAATGACAGACCAAGCCAAGATCTACCACCCTGCCCCTTCCTTGAAGCTCAGCAAGGGTGCACCACGCTCCACATGGGCTGGCGCAGAGGAGAAGCTGCATGGCCAGCTGGCTGTGGCCTTCAGCCTGGAGGAGGCTGAATTGCGCTCCAGCTGATCGGGCGGCTTCCCCTCTGCGCCTGCCCACGTGGAGCTTGGTGCAAGTTTTCATATGAAGTATTTCCCTCTTGCAAAATGCATTTTCTATAGGTGGGCTCCTGTTCCCTCAAGATCAGCACCTCTTGCCACCCCTGCTCTAGCACATAAATAAATGACCTGATCTGCAAAAGGGCCCAGCAGCACCTTGGAGGGTCTTGGCCTCTGTGAAACTCCCAGCTCCCACCATTCCTTGCAGCTACTCACCTGTGTTGTTGCTTGGTGAGTAGCTGCTCCTCAAATGAGGAAATCTAATGTAAATGTACTGCGCAGGTGTGCAGTTCAGAGAGGGCTCAAGAGCTACTCTTAGAGCCCCTGAGATCTACCGGTAGATCGTGATCTACTGGTTGGTGACCACGGCACTACTCCATCCCGGTCATCTCTTCTCCCACCTTCTCCGCCTCTCCCATCCCTCTTCAGGGACCCCTTTCACAAAGAACTTCTAAGGCAAGAGGTCCATCGACTCTTTGCTATTGGAGCTGTTGAGAAAGTGCATGACCAGTTCAAGGACAAAGGGCTCTACTCCAACTACTTCCTGGATTTACGAAAGCTCAACCAATATCTCCAAAAGCAGTGATTCAAGATGGTTACCTTAGAACCCATTATTCTAGCTCTGGACAAAGGAGTCTGGTTTGCAGCCCTCAACCTACAAGATGCCTATGTCCATGTGATGATCCATCTGTCCCACAGATGCTTCCTGCATTTTACTATAGCATCCGAGCATTCCCAGTACCATGTCCTTCCGTTTGGCTTCTCTTCTGCCCCCTAAGTTTTCTCCAAGACTCTGGCTGTAGTAACTGCAATTTCTATATTGTCAAGATGTCGTCATCTTCCCCTACCTTGACAACTGCCTCATTAAAAGGTGCATCTTGGAATATCTACAAGAGGCCTATTCCAATCTCTAGGTCTCATTATCAGCGACCAAAAGTCCTCTTCTCTGCTTACACAGACTAGAATTCACTGGCACGCACCTCGACTCTATCACGGTCGATGCCTATCTGCCAACCAAGAGGTTCTAGGCAACACAAGATCTGATCAACATACTCACCATCAGTCCTTTAGTATCAGTTCTCATGTGCTTACAATTGATGGGCCACATGGCATCCACTATGTATGTGGTACAGAATGCTCACTTACACCTTCGGTGCCTCAAACATTGGCTGGCCTCCATCCGTGCTGCTTCGAAACATCAGGTCCACAAGCTCGTCCCCGGTTCCCCCCGATGGCCTAATCTCTCTCAAGTGGTGGACCACCCCACAGGGACATCACTCGAAGAAAGAAAGGAAGTTACAATTTCCTTTTATTTTGAAACTGCTCAGAGGTTTGGAAAGTTTTATAAATAGTTCCAGTGGAGATTCATTAGTGAGTAAAGGTGAGTTGGTTAAAAGTGAGTTGGGTTGGTTAAAAGATAAATATATATTGTTTTGAAATGTCAAAGGAATATCATCATCGCATATGCCAAATCTTTATGTGAACATAGTGATATGGCTTCAAACAGTGAAGGGAATATGAGACCCCCTTCTCTAAGTGGATGTGATTATTTGAATTCTGTTTTGTATTGTAAATATTTTTAGTATTGATAACATTCTATTCCCAACAAGTGTTATAGGTACACAATTGAAGTGATGTAACACATTTAGCTTGCATGTACGTTAATGGAGAAAGGTTAAAGTACTAAAATAAAATATTTACTAGAACTGACTTACTACATATGGTATAAATGAGTGATATTTTTCTAGCTATAATTCATACTACTTTGGCTAGTTAACAATATATTTGCTAACTGAAAATGTATTGGTTTGCACATGTTATTTCTTTTGTTTTTATTGTTTTAGGTAATTATGCAGGTCGGGGCACTACAGGAATGGTTGCACGATTTGTTCCTCCCCACCTCAATAACAAATCCTGCAGGGTAACATCTCTGTGCTACAGTGAAGATGGGCAGGAGATCCTTGTTAGCTATTCTTCAGATTACATATACTTGTTTGACCCTAAGGATGATACAGCACGAGAACTTAAGGTTCCTTCTGGAGAAGAAAGAAGAGAAGAAGTGAGTGATTAACCCAATTTGTTGACATCTGTCTGGCCCATTTTTCCTTGGTATAATTATTGATACTAGTTGACTATCCGATAATCAAATGCTTAATCAAATACTTGACTAGTTGCTTCATAGAGAGGCAGTGTGACAGAACAGGCTGGGTCTGGGCACAGCTGAGGGCGTCCGCTCAGGGCGAATTGCTCAAATTCGGGGCTCCTTACAGCCCCCAGACTGGTGACCTTTCCAAACAGGCCACACACCAGTCCCACAAAGCACTTCAGCTGCCTGCCTGAAGCCTCACGAGCAAAAACACCTCCGACACCCCAGCAATATCCGTGCCCCAGATGGCCCCGTGCCTCATATACAGGTGGGGGTCTTAGAACCCAATCCTACCTACCCTGAACAAGTTCTGTCCGGTTCCAAGAAACCAGCCACTGATCCCAGGTCAATTTACCCGTTGGATCTTACCCACAAATCACGCTGAGCCAATCCTTTAGCATCTAAAATCTAAAGGTTTATTGCTACAAGAAAGAAAAGCATGAGAGTAAGGTTGCTAAACTGTCATACATTACATGCATCAAATCGCCCAGTTCTCGATGCAGGCTCTAGTAGAGATGTTACAGCTGCTGGCTTAAAAGTCCTTGTTGCGCATCCTAGATCAGGATGGATCCACAGTTCTTTCCGGCCATTTGATCCCTGCACTGCTGCCTCTGGGATGAAGTGCTGAGCTGAGTAACCAGATGGAGTCAGCCACATGGCATATTTATACCTCCTTCCTGGTCTCTTCTTGGCTGCAGCAGGTCACCTGGCCAGCGGCCTATCCCTGTGTCCCCTGCTGGTAGCGCTTAGGTGTCAGACCTCATTCCCGAGGTGTGTCCTTGGCCCATTGAGTGTTATTGTTCCACATAGCCTCACTAATTAGCATGTCCATAGTCCGGGCTCTGCCCAATGCTCAACCACATGCAGAGAAATATTCAGTATCCATACAAAGTACATGCTTATAACTTCACACACAGACATCATACAATCACATGACTAGTGTACATAGGATTAGGAGACAGTAAACTTCTATTCAACACCTACATGGCCCCCTTTTATACCATTTTTGGGGCCAACGCCCCCACTTATGGGTGCAGCAGTGATCTGGCTGCTTCCCTCAAATTCGGTAATGTGACAGGCAGTAAGGGGGGAGCAGGAGCTGTCTTAAAAGCCAGTTCCCCGGCAGCACCGTCTCCATGGGGAGAAGGGCTGGGGTGCAGTAGGGAACTGGCAGTGTTCCTGCCTTTGAAATGTAAGAAGAGCAGGGCAAATAGTCCCCTGCTGACCCTGCACTGCTGAAGGCGCTTTGCTTTTAAAATGTACAAGAGCCCTCACGGCACTTCTGCCTTTGAAATGTAGCAAGAGTCAGCAGGGCTCTTGCTACATTTCAGAGGCGGAGACCCCCTTATTGACTACTCAAATAGCCGATGCAGATTAAATCGACTATTCGATTAGTTGATTTATCTAAATTTAACATCGTAATTGATACCAATGGTATTGCCCTAAAGATGAATTTAACAGTATTGCTGAAAGTCTAATTGTGTGGCAAAGCCCTGAATGTATAAGGCCCTGTCCCATCATGTTGGTTGTGCAAACGGAAAACCATCACTCTGAGCTCTGCCTAAAACACTTAATCTTTAAAACTCAGAAGAATTTTACAAAACTGAAGAAATTCCCTGTTGGGCATAAGAAAATTCAGCTTAAATGTACCTTAAAATAAAATCGGGAGCCTACAAAAACAGGAGCTCTTTAAAAGTGTCTTAGTAGCCTTGTTTTATGTCTGAGCAATGCTTTAATAGAGAAGAATGATGTTACAAAAACTGTAAAATACATCAGAACTTGCTTTTATATGGTTTAATCCCATGAAATAAAGCAGAGCCTGAATTGAAAAGATATGGCTTGGCCAAAAGTAAACAAAGCCAACTTGTGAACTGGCTCTCATGTGGTGGGAAAAGCAGCTTGCCTCTCCTCTTCTACATTGATCTTAGGTCACTGATATTTGCTATATATTGATCCAATAGTCACACAACCACAAAGGATCAAGGGCAGGGAAACAAGTTGGGGGTGGGAAGGCACTAGTAGCCGTGTCAGGAGACGAGGGATATCCCCTGGTCCAGCATATCCCCTCGTTTAGGACCAGGTGTTGAGGGTGCCAGACCAGTGAGGTTCAACCTGTACATTTATTGCTTATTTAAACCTAATTTTCCATCAAGTAGCTTCTTTCAAGAACCCTTGTGGCCTGAGGGCAGCCCTGCAAGACTCCTTAGTTCGAATTAACTGTTACTCATAATTCCACGAGGAGTAACAGTTAATTCGAACTGTAGTGGTGTCTTTTTCTTTTTTTTTTTTAAATGTGAAACTACACTAAGACCACCAACTCATTTCACATGGACTGCCAAATAGCAGTGAGATAGCTGTGACTGAAAAATGCTAACCTTAGCTGGATATGAGGAGTAACTGAGCAATTCAAAAGCAGCAGCATTTTGTCTGAAGCTGTTGCTTTGCCTTCTGTGAAATAGATGCACTTGCTTTGGTAATGTAAATGTGAGAAGAGAGAGAGTTTGTATTTTTCTGTTTATTAGTTTGCCACTGATGAGAATGTTCCTTCTCCTGCTTCTCTGTTTCATTGCTACTTATGGATTCCATTCTCATCTGTTTCCTCATGAATGCATCAGAAGAATCTGTCAGAAGCATCACCACTTTCTCTGACCATACAAATCTCAGGCATTTCTTCACTTGGAAGCACTTTTTTACAGTATTAAGGGAGTATTACTCAACCAAGGGTAATTGGGAGGGAATAGGGTGGCAGGACAGAGGAGCGCATAAATGAAGTTTGAGCAGGATTCTAGTTTCTCCCTTAACATCCCTGGTGAGTCTCCTATTCTCTGTGTATGCTACCAAGGATGTATGTTCACTGCAAAATTACTTGAGTGATCGACACCTGGGTTAGCCTAACCCATGGTGAGTAGCCACTCTGTAAACCAAATTCAAGTTAGTGTGCTAATTGGTACTGAATTCACCTAAGTGAGATGCTAGTACTTCTTGGTTATTTGTGCTCTAGTAAGATGAGCCTTCTGTGGTTCTTTCCCAGTAAATTGTGGGAAAACTTCTGTCCTTCTGGACAGAGGGGGAGTTGTGGGAAAGTCATTGGAGGACTGTCAGAACTCAAATGGCTTAACCTGCATTCTTCCTAGATATGAAGGAATTACCTGCCCAAGTGAAAATTTCTTTTGGGTGGTTGTCTGTTTCTCAGAATGGGCCAACTAAGCCTGGTTGAGCACACCATACATAGAACTTGGGTCAAAAGTTTTTGTGTGTAGATGGGAAGATAAGTTAATAACAATGTCTAAATAAAAGCATCAGTTAACTCTTCAGTGAAGTTATTCAAAGAGGCCGCTTAAGGCAACTTCTCAAAATCCCCCTCCTTCCTACCCAGCTCATGACTCATGACATATCTGACTGCTGGAACAGATCACAATTCAGGAATACCAGCTCAGGGAGCATCCATATCAGCTCACATTTCTTCTCTTTGCTCCCATGGTACTTTTCTGTCTTCTGTGGTCCTGTACTTTCAGAATCACGTAGCCAGCCAAGGGAATGAAGAGGATGATTGGAGATACCAAAGAGAATTAGGAATGAAGAGGGTGAGATGAAATCAGCAAAAATATGTAATAGAGCAGAAAACAACAAGGAAAAAAAAAGATGACAAAAGAAAACAGAAGCATCAGGGGGTAGCCAAGTTAGTCTGTACAGGATAAACTTAAACAACAAATGGTCTGGTAGCACTTTATAGACTAACAAAACATTTGGATGGTATAATGAGCTTTTGGAGCTTTGAGTTTAGCATGTGCAGACCCAAAATAAATAAGGGAGAAGGGAAAAAAGGAAGGGAGCGGGAAACAAAGAGCAGAGGATATGAAAATATCAAAGGGAAAAACAAGTAGGCAGAACTGGTAACCTATAACTACCTAAAGTTTGGATAGTTAAAAGAAGCAGATAAGGATCATAAGATAGAAATTAGATAGGAAAGGTACTAATGCAAGAATCTACACAGATAAAGAGCTGTTGGCATCTTCATTGAACGTTAGGTTGATAAAGTCCCAGCCGTCCATTATCTTGATTGAGGAGGTCATCAGTATGAGAATTTAATTTGGTTTGTGACAAGACAGCCACCTGGAGATCTTTTAAAGAGTGATTAGGTAGATTCAAGTGTTCTCCAACAGGTTTCTGTATGTTCCCTTTACGTATATCTGATTTGTGTCCATTGATTCTTTCCCATAGGGACTGTCCAGTTTGTCCTATATATATAGCAGTGGGGCATTGCTGGTGTTTAATGGCATAGATCAAATTACTGGATGTGCAGTTAAATGAGCCTTTGATGTGGAGCTTACATGACAGAAAAAAGGAAAGTCTTCAGGGAGTGAAGGGATTCAAGCTGGTAGTGGATGACCTGGCTGCAGAGTGATGGAAGAGTGCGAAGTTGCAACAAAGATTCACAACTGTACTAATAAAAGGACCTGTATATTAAGCAATTTCAGACATGTGGAATTGGCTCTGGAATTCCCCTTTTACTGCAGAACTTTGCCAGAACCTGATTTTTCATTTAAAAAGAAATGTGGTTGTGAGAATTGTCTTGAAAATATGAATGCAGTGCAGTCTGTGCAATTTTTACTTTGTCAGGTGGAATAGATTCACTTCTGGTCTGATGTGAGGTAACCATACTGTGCAGGCCTCACTCTTATATGGTAAAGGTGCATCTTTTTGTTGAAGTCCAGCAGTTTTATATTCAGTGTATACACAGAGATTGGATCAACCTCCCCCACCCTTGTTAGATTAGTCTGTCATGTCAGATGCACAATTTATAGTAGAGAATAATTTTTAAAAAGCCTCCTAACAATATACACACCCCTCCCAATGTGGGGTGGGTTGTGATAGGACAGCACCTGTAAGAAATTTAACTTTTACTCCTACCTCGACCCTTTCTGACCCATTGATCCTCTCCCATCCCTGTATTCCACACTGTGGTAGGTCATCTGCCCTGCACTGACCCTTTAAGGGGTTAAAACCCATCCCTGGGTGAGGGCTGGAGCAAGCAGCTGCAGCAGGTAGCTGCCAATTAGGGCCCAGCTGTGGGCTGTATAAATAAGGGCTCCAGGAGGGATGAAGAAACACTCACTCTTGCTCTGGCTGGGGAGCAGGAGGGACCTAGCTGCTAGGGAAGCTAGAGGCTTCCTGATTTAGAGCAGGGCTGGAGAAAGTCAGGCAGAGCTGGGAAGGGTTCTAGGGCTCAGAGTACTAGGACTGCAGGGAGGCAGCCAGGATAGGCAAAAGCAGCAGCAGGTCCACAACCTCTTGCCAATGATGAGTGGCCATTTCAGACTACAGTTTGCCCCTGTGGCAGGAGCTAGATAAAGACTGGCAGTGGGTCATTGAGGCAAGGTGGGTGGGTATGGGGGGATTGAGGGTCCCCAGAGGGGGAGGACTCCAGAATGTGGGGGCATTGTGGTAGGGCAGTGTCCAGGTAGGAGGGCGCCACAGTGTGGGAGAGACACGGGCCCTGACGTAGTGGTGGAGAATAACAAGGAACTGGGGGTAAGATACCAGCTAGAAGGGGGTGCTCCAGCACCAAAAAGCTAATTCTCTGAGTGATCAGTTGGAGGCACTCTTGGTGGTGAGCCCACCGTGTTACACACTCCTTTCCCCAGCTCACTTTCCATGTCTTCTGCAGGGTCCAGAAGGCACCTAATTAGTGGAACCACAGCTATACCTGTGCAGTTTCGCTAATTAGATGTGGAGCCCTTCATTTTTTCATGTGCAGGTGCGTACCCTCCAAGAAACTATTACAGGCTGGACTTGTTTGACAGGAAAATGTATGCAATGGACAGCCTGAAATTTCAGGTGTAACTGTTAGGTACAGTTTTAATCTATGGAACTCCCTTGGCAAATTCAAGGAGATTCCTTTCCTCAACAGGACTGAGCACAGGAGTTCACTGTTTTAGTGGAAGAAGGTGCAGCAGTGACAAGAAAGGCCATCCAAATGGCCTTGAATGCTACAGATGGGCAGTCAGTACCTCTGCGGTAGTCATGAGGGACAGCTTTTCTGGTTGCAGTCCTCTAAGTTATCCTGGGAGATGCAGGCTGCCATTCAGGACCTCTTTGAGGGGGCAGGTCTTTTCTCTGAGCTCAGAGATACAAGGCTCCAGTCTTAAAGAATCCCATGTCATTGTGCTCCTTGGGCCTTCATACCCCTCAGCAGGCCAGAAAGCTGTTTTATCCTCTACCTTCCCAGTGTAGGTCTTGGGGAAACTCCCTGGCTGAGCACTTACAGGAGAGAGGATAGAGACAAGGGGTCTAAGCGACAAGACCTATTGTCTTCCTATTCTTCTGTTGGAGTGCTCAAAGATGGCACCCCAGTCACATCCCAGGATCCACCTTCATACTCTTTCCTCAACCACCTATGCCTCTTCCAGTTGGCCTGGTCATGGCTGACAGTGGGCTGTTGAGTTGTCACATCTTCAGTTCATGGCCAGCTCTTCCTCCCATCCTTCTTCCTAGGTCCTTCTTATGAGTGACTTTTTGTTCATGGCCAGCTCTTCCTCCCATCCTTCTTATGAGTGACTTTTCGTTCAAGAGGTCAAAAACCTCCTGTACCTGGGGGAGGTTCCGTGGGACATAAAAGGAAAAAAAGGTCTATTCTCACTATTGCCTAATCCCAAAGGCCATAGGAGGCCTCTCACCCATGTTGGGCCTACGTCGCTTTAACAAATCTCTCAGAAGTTGAAGTTTTGTGGGGTTTTTCTGGCCTCCATCTTCCCCTGCCTGGATCCAGGAGACTGGTATGCCACCCTTGACTTAAAGGATGTGCATTTCCATATTTCCATTTTTCCAGGTCACAGGCATTTCCTCTGTGTAGTGCTGGACCAGCACCATTTCCAGTTTATGGTGCTGCCTTTCAGCAGCTTGTCAGCCCTCAGATAATTCCCAAAGTGCATAGCGGTAAAAGCCATATACCTAAGGTGCCATATTCAAATGTACCCAGATCTCAGTGACTGGCTAATAAAGTGCATGTCCTGGGATCAGATATCGTGGTATGTTGACCTGATTTGCTCTACCTTTCAAGCCTTTGGGCTGTTAATAAATGAGAGAGCCAACCTTCATTCCAGTGCAACTCAGAGTTTAGACAGACCAGAGACTTTCTCCCAGAGGCTCAGTTCTAAGCCATGGTGAATCTGATTTCTTGCATGCATGTCTACTCTGTCACCACCATTCACACATGCCTTTGATTTTTGGCCCACATGGTGGCCTGCACTTACATGGTTCTGCATGTGTGGCTCAGGATTAGGACACTGGCATCTATGTTCCTAGCAGACACAAAGTCGGCAGTATAGTCAGAGTCCTGGAACACACAATATCATTAGTTACATGGTGGCAAAATCCTGCATCTATGCTGGAAGCAGTTCCCTTTGTGGCTCCATCCCCTGTCAGTGATTCTCATGTCTGATGCTTCAGGCCTGAGGTAGGGATCCCACCTGGGCTCTCTGGGCAATCTCAGCATGCAAAGTTGTTGGTAGAGTCACGATTGCTTCCCATACATCAACATTAGGGAGCTCGGAGTGATTCACCTGGTCTGTCAAGTCTTCCTATCTCACATAAGAAGCAGGATGGTCCAGGTCCTGATGGACAATTCAGAGGCTATGTTCTGTAACAACAAGCAAGGTTGGCAAAGGACAGACAACCTGGTTCAAGATGCTGTCAGGCTCGGGGACTTCTGTGTACAACACAACATTAATCTTGTAGTCACACATCTCCTTGGGGCCAGGAATGCTTTGATAGATTGCCTCAGCAGGACTTTTTAATCTCACCATGAGTGGCCCCTCCAACTGGAAGTGGTCACATCATCTTCCAGAAAGGGGGACTCCCCGGGTGGACCTGTTTGTGTCTAGTCAGAACAGGAAACATCACATTTTTCTGCTCAATTCAGGTTGTGACACAGACTCCCTGTCAGACTCCTTTCTGTTCCCATGGTCAAGAGTTCCATTGTATGCCTTCCCTCCAGTGCAGTTAATTCCAAGTCCTCATGAACATCAAGGAGGACAGGGTGAAGGTTATTTCCGTGGTTCTGGTTTGTCTTCTCATTGATTTGGCATGCTGCTGGCCCTCTTGGTTGCTGTTCTATTACAGTTGCCACGCAGGCCAGACCTGCTGTCCCAAAGCCATAGCAGTCTTCTACTTCCAAACCTGGCGGTGCTGCAGATTGACAGCTTAACTACTACATGATTAAATACGTTGGATTCCCTGGATGTCAGGAGGGTGCTAGCTTTCTAAATTGAAAGGACTAAGACATTGATATAATTGCTCATTATGAGGTTGTCTAGTACATGTTCAATGAATTTCTTCTGGGATCACTGTCTGCATTCATAGTTGGTACAGTCAGGCAAAGGTGCCCCTCTGGTGATTTCAACTGCCTGTCCAATCAGGGTGCAAGCTTCTTCAGCAGCTTTTCTAGCCCAAGTGCCTATTGGGGATATCTGTAGGGCAGCCATCTGGTCATCTGTCCACACATTCACATCCCATTATATACTTACTCTGCAGGCTTGGGATGATGCTGGGTTTGGTAGAGCAGTGCTGCAAGTTACAAGACTGTGGACTCCAAGCCCACCTCAAAGACCACTGCTTGTGAGTCACTTAGTATGGAATGGGCATGAACAAGCACTTGAAGAAGAAATGGCTACCTGTCTTTGTGTAACTGTTCTTTGAGAGATTTCTCATGTTCATTCCATTACCCTCTCTCCTGCCCCTCTGTTGGAATTGCTGGCAAGAAGAAACTGAGAAGGTTTAGGGTTAGTGATGCCTAAGAGACAGATGCATGAGCACAAGATTGCAGTGGGTGCCAGAGCCAGTCATACACATATCACTACTAAGGCAAAACTCTCCGACAACTGTGTATGTGGGCACGCACATAACTAGAATGGAATAGACATACCATCTTGAACAACAGTTATGAAAGGTAGGTAATTTTTTAAAAATTGTATAATGCATTTGCTTATCTTTATTTTTCTAGTTACGGCAACCTCCCGTTAAACGTTTGAGACTAAGAGGGGATTGGTCAGATACAGGACCACGAGCAAGGCCTGAGAGTGAACGAGAAAGAGATGGTAACGTGTGGCTATTTTAATGGTTGTTTCTAGTATTCCCAAAATATATAAAGGGCTAAAACAAAACTAGCTGTAGTTTTTAAGGCTCATACCAGATTTTAGAACATTTCATTTACATTTTACCATAAGAGGAAACATTTTCCTATATTGAATATAGTAAATTTTAGGCCCTGTCTTCCTTAAGGAAATTCTCACCAGGATACCTACATCAGTGTAGTTAATAGTGTAGATGCAATGTACCTGTGTGAAATGATATACTGAATTAAGCTCTACTGATATACTACCTTGATGTAACTATGCTCTTGTGAATTTCCTTAATGCAGTCATGGCCTTACTTTTTGCTAAAGCTACAACAGGAAATACTGTGTAATAAATTTAAATCTGGACTAGAAATAAAAACAACGGGGTTGTGATTTCTCTATCTGATAAAATTGATATAAACAAGTTTTAAATTAAATTTTAAGCACATGTGCACACCCATTCTGTTGCAGTAGGTTCCAGAGCATGTTAAACCTGTATATTTACTAAAGTTAACAACTGGGCTTCCTGGGTCCTTTCCTTCAATCTAGTTGATGAGAAATTTTAGGTGTCAGATCCTTGCCCAAAGAAAACTAATGGCTCCCACACACACTTTCTAACTAAACTTTTTATACATTTTCTCCAAGAAAAACATATACTGTAGAACCTCAGAATTATGAACGTAGTGGCTAATCATACACCTCATTTGCAACTGGAAATATGCGGTCAGTTTGCAGGGGCGCATGCGTTCGCGCACACACACACGTGTGCAAATACTGTACAGTACAGGACAGTGTTAACTGAAAACTACTAAAAAGAGGGAAAGTTTTAAAAAAAAGTTTGACTAGGAAACTTCTGTGCTTGTTTCATTTAAATTGCAGTGATTAAAAGCAGCATTTTTCTTCTGCAAAGTAAAGTTTCAAAGCTATATTCGTCAATATTCTATTTTAAACTTTTGAAAGAATAATAACATTTGGTTGAGGGTTATGAACAATTTCTCCACCTGAGGGGATGTTGTTCCTTTGACTGTACTTGTATAGTTAATATATTGAGGGCTATTAAGAGTTACAGTCGAGTAATTCTTAATAGCCCCCAATAGTTTAACAACTTTCTTAACAGCAGCTGGTGACAATTATTTTCATGATCAGAAAAGCATTTCTAATAATAAGAATACTCGTATGTCAGAGGGGCCTAAAACCAAGGTAATCTGTCAAAACATTCTTTCTATTTTCATGAAGCCTTAACTCCCTGTCCCAGCCTCCCCTTCTGATTAGCAGAAATGCAAAAGTGCAGATATCTGGCCTTGTCTCTCAGGGCTTATGGTTTTCTTAGCTATGTGATATTTGGGTTTTGGATGGCAGTAGTTGAACATATAAAATGGCTGACTTCAGTACTGTAAAATTCTGGGATGCATTTAGGAATATCAGATTTGGGAGCCACAACTCACCCTCCTCGTTTTTACTGTCATCCAGGTGGTCTGAATATTTCTTCCCTTGCTCTTCATAGGTTTCCTTTCTTATCTGTTTTACGTGACCCTCTTTGTATGAGATGTGACTGATTCAAAGACCCTGCTCTCTGTTGGGCTATAGCGTCAGCATCTTGACTCTTATTTGATACAGCTAGATAATGGCTGATGTGCTGGCAACTGTAGTTAAATGAATGGAGATGCCTATCTCCTAGAACTGGAAGGGACCTTGAAAGGTCATCGAGTCCAGTCCCCTGCCTTCACAGCAGGACCAAATACCATCCCTGACAGATTTTGCCTCCGATCCCTAAATGGCCTCCTCAAGGGATTAAACTCATAACCCTGGGTTTAGTAGGCCAATGCTCAAACCTCTGAGCTATGCCTCCTACTAATGGAAATATTATCTAGTAAAATGTCCTGTTTCATAAAAATAATTATTAATAATTTTTGTAAGAATCTGAAACAGCTGACCTTTCAACTTTTCCAACAAGTGTTTAAACTGAATGCAGCGGAACTCAATTACAGAAAGTCATCTATAAGGAAACTCAATTTAATTGTGAAGCAGAATAAAAAACCCCCTCAAACTTTCAGTTTATTGCGATGTTCAAATTGCAACATAAGCTCTTAGTGTTACTCGAGAAAAAAAATCACTCTGAGAATACCAATTTATATAACTTCTGCGCTTTTTTTTTTATATAGAAAAACAAAAGGATCAGTTGAGTATCTTAGAAACTTGCAGATAAAATTTCAATATTTTTATTTTTACAGGGGAGCAAAGTCCTAATGTCTCACTGATGCAAAGGATGTCAGATATGCTATCAAGATGGTTTGAAGAAGCTAGTGAAGTTGCACAGAGCAACCGAGGACGCGGAAGATCTCGATCTCGAGGTGAACATTTATTTTGAATAAGGATAAACAGAATTGTAGATCATGCAAGGATTTTTTTAAATAAGCAGTGCAAGAGGGCTAGAGGTACAAGATTTTAGATTGGAAATTTTCAGGGTCACAAACTATAGTACAGTATATTGTACAGTACTGGATGTTTTATGTTTACAAATTTTAAATGATCGTACAAAAAGGTCCTTCTCTTAAGATGCATTTGCTATTTTTCCCCAAAGGTGGAAGCAGCCGACCAGATGCCTCCATTACTAGCAACATACCACCAAGTGTTGAACCAGAGACTCCAATGGAAGTGGATGGTCATGAACAGGTTCTATCCTCTTCATCCTCTACAATGTCAGCACAAGCTCCCTCAACATCTTCCTCAGTGGAAAGCCCACCTTCCACATCTTTGCTATCCTCGCCTGACAGTGAACAAAGACCATCTTTGGAGGCCTCTAGTCATCCTACTCTCCATCAGTCTGGTGAGGAGAATTTCATCCAATATGCCATGATTTATTAAATCACTTAAATAACAAACTACAGTTTTATTTCTGGCAAATTTTTGGTAATTGACTTATAATTTTGTTGAGGTCATGCTTATCTTGAATGTGGATTAAATATATTTTCCCAAAGAAAAACTCAAGTAGAATTACTAATACTGTTTTTAAAAATTAATTGCACTGTTCTTGGGGGGGGGGACCCTATATTTTGTATTGTTTAAACTGTTTTCTTTATGGTATGTAAGTAGATATCCTACCCTTTCTGATGAAATTTGGCTGCAGTAGCTCCAACACAGTGAATAGCAGATTCTGTAATATGTTCCTCATCAATGGAAGTCTGGAATGATTACTCCCCTTCAACCAGTTATTTACACCTAAGACCTATTGCAGCCATGCAAGAATCAAGTAGGGCAGTGCTGCTCTGCCTATCGAACGTATTTGGATGAACAGGGCCCGTCTTGTAGTATGTTCTACTCATTGAATGGGCTAAGGTTTATTATCACTTCTAATATTGTAATTGAAATAGCTCCATTGTCTTAAAAGGAGATTTTACATTTATATTGGTGTAAATGAAAGGAAATTTTAGCCTAGTTAATATCAATTATCTCTTTGTAGGGAAGATCTATATAGGGCTGAGTCACACCCCTTCACACCAGTACACAGAAGAGGTACTGTTTGACCTGGATTCCTGTGGGTGCATAGAAGCTGGCCTAACGGTATTGCCAACTGTCACAATTTTCTCAAAATAACTGGTGTGTTTCCTACAGCTCCAGCTGCTAGAGTCATGTGTTGACGTGAGAATCACAGCTTTCATTTTTAAAATAAGTTCTTTAGTACCTATGACTCTAGAGAAAAGCTTGAAGACAAGACCTGAGTGCACTTAAAAGTTTGAGAAACTAGAAGGCAAATAACATCTGTCCTTCAATTATTATTTTTTTTAATTTCACCTTAAGGCTTGACTTGTGATTTTTGAACATCTAAGGCAGGCAATACTGTATAAGGTCCACCCTCTCTCTTCTGATACTTGTTGCAGGCATTGTGTGTTGCTGTCCTTGGAGGAGATGACTGATTCCAACTCTCCCAGACTCTGAATGGATGTGCTGGGATGAGGGAGAGATGAGATTTTCCCATCTCCCAGTTGTCTTTGAGGAGCAGCCATAAGAGGAAAGAGTACCATTCACTGTGCTATGACTGCTGCAGTCATACCCCCTTGGGACATTATCAGAAAGGGGCAGGCCAAGACTGTTACTTAAAAACATTGGAAGAAAGAGAAGTAAAAGATGTTTGTTTAAAGGTAACTTTTAAAAACACCAAACTTTCAAATATGCCAATATTAGTCTGGTTATCCCAGTTAACTTTCCCTAGTAGAGAAAGTAAACAGCAAAAATTTGTCTTGGACTACACTTCAGTTAGACTACCTTCTTTAATAAATGAGATGGTATGAAATTCATTTTTCTGACTGTGCCAAACAAGGTGTATGTTCACAAACTGCAAAAAGGTCAAGGTCTCTGCTATGCATAAAATGCAGCAGATTTTGCCACCTGCACATGTGATACAGAGAGGGGGCCACCAAAGACTACAAATCCCAGTATTGATCTGACTGGCATTTTGCTCTGTTCATTGTATGTCACTGTATACTGGGGACTGTCGTCTTTATGGTTGTACCTACTGTGTGAAAGAGAACTGTTGCAGGCTACTTTATTAAATGCTGTTGTTTGCATAATGACAGCTGTTACAGAGACTCTTCTCCTACATTATTTCTTTATGTATTTCTGTACCAGCATTTTTCTGATATCTCTCTTACAGAATGCACTCATTTGAATACAATTTTCCTTTTGCATTTCTCTGAGTAAGACTGAAACTTTGGGTAAAAGTTTCTCATGCCAGCATGTGAGGTCCAACTGATACCATTATTTCTCAATCCATCCTCCTTCTGAGGGTATTTTCTTTCTATGCATCACTTCCAATGTCAGACTCCTATCAGAAAGTGAACTAAGTAACCAACACCAAAAAAAAAAAAAAAAAAATGAATGAATGGAAATTTGCTTCAGATCAGGTTTGAAAGATCAATTCACATTTTAAATATACTGTAATTATGTTCAATGGGATCTTTCAGGATTACAATATTTTGTCTTATCCAGACAAGTTATTCTTACGTTGCTGCTGAATGATGATTGGTTATTTAATTGATTTATGGATATGAAAAATACCACTTTTTGAATCACCGGGATTTCTCCTGCAGGAGCGATTACAGCAGTAATTTACTGGTCAGGAACAACAAGATACACTGAGATGATAAAGTTGCATATAGAGAGTTGGCTAGTATCTACAGATGTATCTGTTCACACAGGAAGTGATTTGCTGAAGTGTTAGATATTGAAATAATGTTTTTAAAAAACACAAAACAGAATAGTCCCATATTCATCAGAATTTAAAACCAAACTGTATTTAAAGCTCTTTATTAAGTTTCAGAGGAGTTGCTCTGTGAGTCTGTTAGTTTAAAAACAGAGTAGTCCTGTGGCACCTTAGAGGCTAACAAAAATATATAGGATCATGAGCTTTTGTGGGTAAAGTGGATTAAGTGGGACCACAAGACTATTCATTCTGTTTATTAAGATATGCTGTAGAACACCATATCTCTAGAGTTAGTTCCATAAACATAGAAGATACTAAGGAGCTTAGTCAAAGAATAGCAAGATGCAGAAAAGTAATTAAGTAAAGTGAGTGAATGGGAAACTTATTACTGAGGAGAAGATAAAGATTCTTAAGAGAACTTGGTTTTAAGAAGTCATTTGAAGGAAGAAGGTGGCTTTTGGCAGGTGAGGCCAGGTGAGTGTTCCAGGAATAAGAAGCAGCTACAGACAGGCATAAACCTGAGAGAGAGGAATGAGAGAGGGAGAAGAAGAATGAGAAGAGAAAGTAGAAAGAAATGAGGAGTAGACGGGCTGTTGGATCATGAAGAGATGGAGAATTTAAGAAGCAAGGTGGTAAGGCATGCAATGATATGAGTGATAGGAGAGGCAAAAGATATTGTAACAGCAGAATTTTGAAATAATGGTGAAGAAGAGGAAAGGCAAATGAAAGTTGCAAAACCTAAAAGGAAGAAATGACTGTGTGTTGAAGAGGAAGGTAAGAGTTGGAAACCTTGAGAGGAAAAGCCAAAGATGCTCCAGCCATCAGTTTGGAGAGAGCAATAATGGATGCTCATTTGAAGGAGACAGGGAAGTTTTCGTGAGTATTAAAAAACTGAGGGCAGTCCACCATCTTGTGGATCAGAATGACTTTGGTAGAAATAGAGCATGACTCATGAGGGAACAGAAGAATGGACTACTAAGCAAATAACATTCACTGCAATGTTTTATAATTTGCTACATTCCTTACAAGCACTTATAATAACCTCCCCTTTGAAACGATAACATTTTATCATTATACATTTGAATTAAATACATATTTAAATCCTTTGGATACTGTGTTGTCCTCCAAGTGTATCATGCTTCCTATTTTAGAAATACTCTTGTCCTTTTAAATTTTGAAAGACAATTGCCAGAACAAAAATAATACAACATGGAATCTTTGTCACAATATCTACTTCATCTGAAACTTGTTTATATTCTGTTTGAGAAGTACAGCTGAAACCTCTCAAGTGTATTGTTGGATCATTGTTAAAGCTCCTGTAGTGAGACAAATCACTGGATACTGTTTTTAACAGTATTTAAATTGAAATTAATCTTCTATTTTGTTCAGGAAGTCATAGCTGATAAGAGATTTTTATTGCCCTGTCACTTACAAAAAAAATAATATAGGTGTAAAATGAACAATTTAGTTTTGGTTTTACCTTTTTGTCTCAGCAGAAAAAAGGAAATGTCATTAATGTGATGGTTTAAATATTTTAATATGCCAGTGTTTTAAGCTACTTATACATTGACAGCTGTTCAGTTTTATGCAACAACTGCATAAAATGTAAACAGACTTTGTTTCCATAAGCTGAGTGGCAGACGCACACATTGGTTATGGTTTTGGAAACATTTTTTGTATTAGATTTCCAAATTAATTGGGACAAAATTTAATCCATAGGTTTGTTCTGATTTTAAGCAAGTTCTACCTTATTTTTCACTGGGAAAATGCCATTGGCATTTATTTTGTTTTCTGACTCCATTTGCTGGCAAGATTAACTTCTGCCTGAAGATTCTGACTAGTATTAAAAGATTTAGTAAAACAAATTAAAAGGGAAGAAAATAAGTCCCTTTAAAATGTAAGGGATAACTTTTTAATTACTTAAATAAACATGATTTCTGAGCTAAATGAAACTGAATCATTAAGTAAATACAAGTTGAACCTCTCTAGTCCAGCACCCTCAGTCCTGGACCAAAGAATTTGCGGAATCACACAAGGTCAATATTGCCTAGCAGCATTACCAACATTCCACTGCTTTCTGGGCTCTTAGAAGACATTTTGGGGTAAATTAGAGCTAAATAACAGCCCAGAACACAGAGCCAGGACTGGTGTCTGTAAACAAACTGTATGAGACTGTGGGAAACTTGGCCACACCCGTAAGTGGACATCTGGCTAACTGTAATAATGCTGGACCACGATATTACCGGATCAAAGTGTGCTGGACTAAAGAAGTTCAGCATGTACTACAAACTATTTTGGCCACAATTGAGAAATAATTTTTTAAAAATAATTAAAACATACTTGGATTTTTCCAAGATAACCATATTTTTTGTTATTTGAGAACTCTTCCAGGCATATCTGTTCTGCATGATGGGATCTTTCAGGATATATATTTTTCCTTTTTGTTACTTCATTATTAGCTGCCACATAATTGGTTGTAACATCTAGAGTTTGTTAGACAAGGGATGCTAGAACCTAAGCAGAGGAAACCTGAGTAGAGCCATTCAGGAGGAGAAGAAACAATTTAGACTCCTGGATAGTAATGGGGAATTTCTGTAAATACCAGTGAATAAGAGATGGAACTAGTACCTGAGGGAACTAGTGTGTAACTGACAAGTAGTAGGAAGAGGGCATGGTGAGAATAGTTTCCACAATGTTAAAAACTGCTGCTTTCTGTTTGGAAATCTATCACCTCTGTCCATACTCCCCTTTCCATGTATTTTTTTTTAATTTTGGCATTTCGATTATATCACTCTTTGGTTAATATGACATTTTAAAGTAAAACCATTAAAATAAGCTCATAGACTAAAATGGCATAACTTTCCACTTACCAAGGGTACCAGTTTGGTTAGGCATATCACGAACTTGTAATAATATGTATTTAGGTATTTTTTTGTTTTATTTTCAATCCATCCTGGTATATTTCATTTGCTAATTTTCCTCCGTTAATCTCTTAAATGGTTGAGGATATGGGGAGAGGACATGTAGCAAGAAAATGGGACTTTATACATTCTTTGATTCATGCATTGAAAAGGGAAACCCCAAATTTAAATAAACGTTTTGTTTATGCTTCTAATTTATTGCACATTATTAATCTGCCATATAAAAATATTTTGCTTGTATTCCATGTATCTGCTGCCTTGCTCACCCATCATTTGTTCTTTTTATCATATGTTCTATGTCTTTTTCTTTTACACTTTTTTTTCCTGTCTGTCAGAATTAATGGCACCTGAGTTAGCTATACTCCGTAGGGGTCTGCAGCGGCTGAGGCTTAAGAAGGCTGAACAACAGAGACAGCGAGAGCTAGCTGAGGGTTCAGCACCACAGTCCTCCTCCTCTGATCAGTCTTCCCCTAAGGGCTCCTCACAGGACCCTCAGACTTCAGGTTGTCAAGGTTTCTTAAGCAGCTGATGTAGTTATAGTTTGTGCTGCTATTGTTTGCTGAGATGCTTCCTCTTCAGAACAAAACAGTTAATGCACTTGCTGCTCATCTTGATACTGCGTGTGATGGTGTCACATTAGATATACATACTAATAACAGTGTTACTGTGTTTATTTCCCTAATATTGTTGTGATACATGGTAACATTTAAGTAGGATTTGAATTGTATGCCACAGCAAATTTTGCCCATGTTGGCAATTTTCCAGAAGGAAACTGAGTGCTGCACGTTACCAGAAATGGAGTTTTTTGAGCAGCACTTGTTAGAAAAGTGAATAGCGACAGTTACTCTTGTCTAGATGGAGCAATATGTGGTGACACACAAACACCCAGGGCTACACCTTCATATTAAAAAGGAGGATGTCGGTGAGTCTTGTTAAGACTGCATTGGCTAAATTCTGGGGTTACTGGTGTTAAACAATTACTTTTATTGCTGTGGAAACAAAAAGCATATGTAGATGTTTTTGCTTGACTACAAATTTCCTTCAGAATAAGCTTTTACGCTGTACTCAATTTAAATATGTCTCTAATAAAAGGCTGCTGTAGCTTGCTTTTAAATTTATCAAATATCTTAAAATAGACAAAGTGATGCAAAACTGGAGTGAGAGGGTATCGAATGGCAGATCAATAAGTATGATGGATATAAAAATACTAATAATTTTTAATAGACATAAAGAATTGAAAACATCTCTCTTATGAGTTCTCTCAGGAATCACATACGCATGTGCAACTTGTACCACTCATTTATTTGGGGGAATATTAGGATTTTGGCATAAACCATAATGACTTGCTACCTATTAGGGATGTGAATTTGTACCTATGTACATGGTTAACCAATGAGCCTAAACTATTCATTTAATCTTTACAGTGACATGCAATCCCCCCACCCCATGCTGCTGCCTCTGTATCAGACCTCTGCCCTGGAGCTGCTGCCTCTCTCAAAGGCAGCAGTGAGAGGGGCCAGACGGGGGCTGGTACACATGTGGAGCTTGCTCCCCACACATACCGGCTCCTGCTGAGCGGGCTGCCACCTGCCTTTGTGCTTCTCCCTTCCACAAAGGCAGCAGCGGGGAAGGGTGGAGATGTAGCTCTGTGAGCACCAACTCCTGCCTACGGACCCCCTCCCCCCGCATGTAAATATGTAGCTGCTGAAAATTTCAGCGGTTACACATTTACCGAAATTAACACATTTTTACATCCTTACTATCTGTTCACCCAATCTTGTCTCAAATTCTCAATCCTAAAAGTAATAATAGAAGTTAAAAGTAGTTATGAGTAGGGGTTCAACAGAAATGTTATAATTGTGTACCTTGTGCAGCATTAATTTTGCCAGTCCTGAATCATAAATGCTTAACACATTTAAAGTTCTTACTATACTGTATTTTTGCACAGACTTTCTTTTTTTAGGGCCAAATTATGTCACCCTTGTTCACCTTTTGGGCCAAGTTGTCGCCCTTGTTCCCTTTGTCAGTAGTTCCACTGAAGGGTTACACAATCTGGTCTTTAGCTGTAGGATTGTGGTGTCCAACACGCTAACCACTAGCTACCTGTGGCCATTTAGCCGGTTGTGTGGGGCTAGTTGGCTCTCAAAATTATTTACATTTTCAGAATAATGGGGCTAGTTTGCTATAGCAGTAGCCATTATAATGGCTACTGCTTCAGAACTGGTTGGATACCATGGCTTTAGCATTTGCTTAGTATATGGATTACTGGCATCAAAATATCAAACGCAAAACCAGGGTTTCATGAAAGGCCGCTGACTGTCATGTATAAGGCTGCATGTCTATCATGAAGGTCACAGGAATCATGGATTCCATGACTTTCCCTGATCTCTGTGACTTCTGCAGTGACCAGTGGTTCTGGGACTGCCCATGAAGGTCAGTCAGCACCAGGGCCAAATATGCTTGCTGCTGTTGGGGCAGTTAGGGTGTGGGACAGAGTCCAAGGCTGTAGCGGGGGGTAAGCTGCAGTGTGGAGCCTACCTCAGGGGAACTCCCCAGAAGCAGCCAGCATATCCCTGCAGCTCCTGGGGGAAGAGAAGGCCATGTGCTCTGTGTGCTGTGCCTTCCCCTGCCTGGAGTCATCTCCTCTGCAACTCCCATTGGCTGTGGTTCCTATCCAATGGGAGCTGCAGAGCCAGAGCAGCGCATGGAGTCACCCCACCTTCCCTCCCTCTAGGAGCTGCACAGATATGCCAGGTACTTCTGGGGAGCTGCACAGTCAGGTAGGGAGTCTCCCAGCCATTCCTGCCCACTCCCAGCACTGGCATGAATCCCAAGCCATATGCACCCTTTCCCCCAACACCAGCAAAGGTCCCAGGTCAACCTCCCAACACCCATGGCTCCCCAGCCCAAGTTTTATTTAGGGATATATAGTACAAGTCATGGACAGGTCACAGGCAATGAATTTTTGTTTGCTTTCCATGACTTTTACTAAAAATACCTCTGACTTAAACATAGTCTTACTCATACACACAACTGTATATGATGCCAGGTCACATGGAAAAGTTTATGAACCCCTTGTCTCCTTGTGTGTTGATTAGAGCATGGATTAGTACAGGGATGGGCAATAATTTTTGATAGGCGTCCACTCCATCCATCCAAGGGCCGCACTCTTCCATGATATTAATAGAGGAGGTGTGAGGTCTAGGATGGAGGTTGCATGCAGAAGGGAGCTTGGAGTAAGGGATTTTGGTGCAGGAGGGCCTGTGAGATCTGGGAAGGAGTTTGGGTGAAGGAGGCAGTTGTAACCTGGGGCATAGGGTTGGGGTTATGGCCTAGGGCAGGAGAGAGTTGTGACCTGGGGGCAGGAGACGGGTGTAGGAGGAGGTGCAGGGGTTTGTGACTTAGGCAGGGGATTGCAGTGCAAGGGTTTGGGTTGTGGCCTAGGGCAGGAGGGCATTTTGATCTGTGGCAGGGGGTTGGGCTGCTGGATCTGAGAGGTGGTATGGGTGCAGGAGGGGGTGCAGAGGGTTTGGTTTACATGGGTTAGGGGGATAAGATTTGGGGAGGCAGAAGGTTGGGGGAGGGAAAGGCTGTGGTGCCAGAGGTAGGCTCTGGGTGGGAGACTTACCTGTCTTATTCCCAGCCATCAACCCAGCACATTTCTCAGACAGCCTGCCTACCTTGCCTGCCCCCGCACTGGGTTCAGGGGCCACGTGCATCTGTGAATAAGAGCCAGAGGGGAAGGGGAAGTGGTGCTTCACATACTGCCTGTTCTTCAAACAGGCGGCTCCCATTGGTGAGGAACCGGACAATGATATTTTGTTGGAGGGTGGGGGGGCAGCACCTAAAACCTCTCTCCCTTCCCCCGAGCTGAGAAACACAAACAGCCCAGCAGTTGCTTTTCTGAGCAGCGTGTGGGGGTTAGGGCAAGCAGGGAGTCTGCCTGAGGTTCCCTGCTGTGTCCACAGGCCGGATCCAGTCTGTGCCCTATTTTGCCCAGCCCTGGCTTAGTACTTCTACACTGTGATTTTGAATTAGCTATGCAAGCAAGCACAGTGTAGCCTTCTATTCTTTTAGAGTGTTAAAATGTTTTTAACAAGTTACTTCATTTAACTGTTTCACAAGCCTGAACTCCTAATTCATGTAAATGTATGGAACTCTTAACTGAGCCAAATAAAAGGCTATGTTTATAAGAATGCAGGCACCTTTTCTTCCTGAAGAAGCTATTTACCTGCCATATTTCAACTTTCTATTCCTCTTGACCCTTTACCTTCTCCTGTCCTCTTCTCTCCTTCCCTTCCCCCCCCCCCACATTTTTGGCAGTTTTGTAAGTGAAATAGCATTTATTTTCAGTTTTTCATTTTAAAAAAAAATCACTCTTTGAGCAGTGTCTGAGCCTAGAATGCTCACTGTGAAATAAAGGAAGTTATACACTATGGAAAGCAAGATCATAGAGTGGAAACACTTGGACACTGTTAACTCCTGCTATAGCTAATGCTCTAGCTATACTATGTAGGTACAGGTTGAAACACTCTAAACTAGGAATCTTTGATCTAGCAACATCCATGGTCTGGCATGGATCTTGCAGGATGAGAGAATCCTAGTGGAAGGCTAACAGCAGGGAGCCTTGGGTGGCCAGCAGGGCAGCAGGCTGTCTGCAGCAAACTGCTGGTGGGGCTGCCCTCCACAGCTGAGAAACTGGAGTATGACTACCTGGCAGGTGGCCTGGTAAATGAAAACCAGAGTCCTGGTGCGCAGCTGGCTGGTGGGGCCGGGAACCGCAGCAGCTGTCCAGTGGGGTCAGGAACCTCAGCACATGGCTGCCCAGTACAGTCGGCAGGACAGCAGGGCCAGCAGCAGCTGGGGAGCCAGCCAGAAATGACCTTGCCTAGTCGGGCAAAATCCCTCATCCAGGACCAGTCAGATCCTGACAGTGCTGGACAAGGGAGAGCCACTCTGTAACTGAACTTAGCATAGTTGATAGCATTGGAAATTCTTATCCAAGGACAATTTTCAAATGGGCTGGAAGCTGGAGACTCTAGGCCCTGAGGAACTGTGTACATTCTGTGTACATTGCAGCTGACAGTAGTGACTGCCTCCTTAGTGGTGGAAAAAGGCTAGTAGAGCAGAGAAGACAGTGGTAACCACAAAAGCAGTGGTCTGTGATGCTCTGTGACAAGAATTCAATAGCAACTCCTGATTGGAAGCCAGGATAAAGGCAAAAATCTTCTTGGCTGTTGTACTTGTAAAAAGAGAATGCTGGCCATTATTCCTCTAATGGATTGAACATCAAGATTTATTGTCAATGTTTGTCTTTTGGAGTCAAAGACAAAGCTAACATTTATGTTCTTGGTCAATAAATATTTATATCACTTCAGACATGAAGTGTGAGATTTTCAGAAAACTGAGTACTAGCCTACTTTTACTCTCATTGATGTTAATGATCACATTCCTATGGACTTCAATGTAAGAAAAGTTAGGCCAGTACTCCACTTTTGAAATT